AAATATATATATATATATATATATATATATATATATATTTATATATATATATATTTATATATATATTCTAGGTAGTAGGCTGGTAGACAGCAACCGCCCAGGGAGGTACTACCGTCCTGCCAAGTGAGTGTAAAACGGAAACCTGTAATTGTTTTACACGATGGTAGGATTGCTGGTGTCTTTTTTTACTGTCTCGTACACATTCAAGATTTCAGGTACGTCTTGCTACTTCTACTTACACTTAGGTCACACTACACATGCATGTACAAGCATATATATGTATATATACACATCCCTCTGGGTTTTCTTCTATTTTCTTTCTAGTTCTTGTTCTTGTTTATTTCCTCTTACCTCCATGGGGAAGTGGAACAGAATTCTTCCTCCGTAAGCCATGCGTGTTGTAAGAGGCGACTAAAATGCCGGTAGCAAGGGGCTAGTAACCCCTTCTCCTGTATATATTAGTAAATGTAAAAGGAGAAACTTACGTTTTTCCTTTTGGGCCACCCCGCCTCGGTGGGATACAGCCGGTTGTGTTGAAAGAAAGAATATATATATATATATAATATATATATATCTCCATGGGTAGAGTGGAATACAGATAAGTCTTCCTCCTTAAGCCATGCTGTCGTAAGAGGCGACTAAAATGCCGGGACGGGTAGTAACCTCTTTCCTGTAAAATTACTAAATGTAAAAGGAGAAACTTTTTTTTTTTTCCTTTTGGGCACCCCTCCTTGGTGGGATAGGCCTTTTGTGTTGAAAGAAAGAAAATATATATATTATTATATTATATATATATATATATATATATATATATATAATATATATATATATATTATTAATATTATATTTATAATATATTAAATAATATAATTTTAATAAAGGGCATTCCCACAAAGGGCAGATGGCCCAAAAGAAAACTTTCACCTCATTCACCATTCACTGTCTTGCCAGAAGGGTGCTTTACACTAACAGTTTTTAAATGAAACATTAACACCCTTCCTTCAGATTTCAGGCACTGTACTTCCATCTCCAGGACTCAAGTCCGGTCCTCCGGTTTCCCTGAATCCCTTATAAATTTACTTTGTCACACTCCAACAGCACGTCAAGTATTAAAAACATTGTCTCCATTCACTCCTATCAAACACGCTCACGCATGCCTGCTGGAAGTCCAAGCCCCTCGCACACCAAACCTCCTTTACCCCCTCCCTCCAACCTTTCCTAGGCCGACCCTACCCCCCCTTTCCCTTCCACTACAGACTGATACACTCTTGAAGTCATTCTGTTTCGCTCCATTCTCTCTACATGTCCGAACCACCTCAACAACCCTTCCTCCCGCCCCCTGGACAACATTTTGTAATCCCCACCTCCTCCTAACTTCCAAACTACGAATTCTCTGCATTATATTCACACCACACATGCCCTCAGACATGACATCTCCACTGCCTCCAGCCTTCTCCTCGCTGCAACATTATCACCAGTTCCCCCTATAAGAGCGTTGGAAAAAATTACTCTCAACATTCCCCCTTTGCCCCCCAAGGACAAAGTTCTTTGTCTCCACAGATCCAAGTGCACCCCCTCACTCTTTTTCCCTCATCAATTTATGATTCACCTCATCTTTATAGACCCCTCCGTGACAGTCCCTCCAAAAATTGTGGTTCACCCCCTCCATACTCTCTCCCCAAACGATATCCAATTTTCATCACCAATCTTTTTTTTATCCTCTAACCTTACTCTTTCCCGTTTCACCTTAATTTTTTTCTTTGACACCCCTTCAAATTAAACCACCAATCTCTGAACTTTCTTCAGAATTCCAAAAAGCACAGTGTCTCGCAAAGGCATGTGACAACTCCCACTTTTTTGTGTGATTCTTTTCTTTTAATCCACGCCCCTTGCCAAGACCCTCGCATTTATTTTTTTACAACCCCACTATAAATATATTAAAAAAACCACGGTGACAAACTCCTTTCTAAGGGACTTTTTGGGAAAAAATTTCCCTCTTTCCTACATACTTAATTTAGCCTCATATCCTCGTAAAAATCTTCACTGCTTTTAGTAACCTACCTCCTACACCATACACTTTCAACATCTGCACATTGCCCCCTACCCCCTGTATACCCTTTTCCAAATCCTAAAGCCCCAAAGACCCCTTTAGCCCTTTTCTAAATACTGTTTACTTATATGTTTCCCTTAAAACCTGGTCCCCACCCCCTCCTTTTTAAAGCCTCCTTTTTCATTGCTTCCATTCTCGTTTCTCTTAATTTTTAATTATAAACTCTACCATACCTTTAAACCAGGTATACTAACAGACTTATCCCCTATAATTTTTGCACTCTCTCTTTTACCCCCTTTGCCTTTATACAAGGAACTATGCTGCTCTCTGCCAATCCCTGGGTCCTTACCCTCTTAATACATTTATTAAATAATTGCCCCAACCCACTTAATAATATACTATATATATTTATTTTTTTTTAATTTTTTATTATACACTGGCCGTCCCCCCAAGGCAGGGGGGGGCCCCGAAAAGAAAAACTTTCACCATCATTCATCCTCACTGTCTTGCCAAGGGTGCTTTACACTACAGTTTTTTAACTGCAACATTAACACCCCTCCCTTCAGAGTGCAGGCACTGTCTTCCCATCTCCAGGACTCAAGTCCGGCCTGCCGGTTTCCTGAACCCCTTTCAAAAATGTTACTTTGCTCACACTCCCAGACGTCAAGTATTAAAAACCATTTGTCTCCTTAATCCTATCAAAACGCTCCCAGCCTGCTGGAAGTCCACCCCCTCGCACAAAAAACCTCCTTTACCCCCCCCCTCCAACCCCTTTCCTAGGCCGCCCCCACCCCGTTTCCCTTTCCATACAGACTGTAAATTTTGAAGTCATTCTGTTTCGCTCCTTTCTCTCACATGTCCGAACCCCCTCAACAACCCTTCCCACCCTCTGGAAACATTTTTGGGTAATCCCACACCCCCTCCAAACTTCCAAACTACGAATTCTCGCATTAATTCCCCACACACCATATATATATTTTAAAAAATTTTATATATATATATAATTTTATATTTTATAATATAATTCAAAAAGTGGGGCCGTCTCCCACCGGGCGGGTGACCCAAAAAAAATAAAATCCCCAAAAAGAAAATACTTTCATCTTTCAACACTTTCACCTCACTCAAACATAATCACTGTTTTGCAGAGGTGCCCAAAAATACAACAGTTTAGAATATATATGTATAAAAATACACAATATATCCTCCAAATCCCCAATATCCAAACCCCCTTCTTTAGGTGCAGGCATTGTATTCCCATTTCCAGGACTCAAGTGGTTATAAAAAATAACCGGTTTTCCCCTAAATCCCTTTACTAAATATTACCGCTCACACCCCAACAGCTCGTCAGGCCCCAAATACCCATTGTCTCCATTCATCCTATTGACACGCTCCGTAGTTTCTGGGAAATCCAAACCCTCGCCCACAACACTTTACCCTCCCTCCAACCTTTTTGAGGGGACACCCTACCCCGCCTTCCTTCCCTACAGATTTAACACTTCCCATGTCATTCTACTTTATCCATTCTTCTAAAAAACCCAAAAAAAACCTCAACAAACCTTTTCCCCCTCTGCTAATACTTTTTTAAATCCACACCTTCTCCTAATTTCCACACTCCGAATTTTCTGCTAAATTAACACCACACCTGCCCTTAGACAGGACATCTCCCCCCCTCCAAAAACCCCTCCCCGCTGCAGAGTTACAAACCCCGCTCAACCATTTTTAAAAGTGTTGGTACTATATACTTTCATCATTCCTTCTTTGCCTCCATAGTAACATTTTTTTGTCTCCACATATACCTCAACGCACCACTCACCTTTTTTCCTTCATCAATTCTATGATTAACCTCATCTTTCATAAATCCATCCGCTGACACGTCAACTCCCAAGTATCTGAAAACATTCACTTCTTCCATACTCCTCCTCCCCAATTTGATATCCAATTTTTCTTTATGTAAATCATTTGATACCCTCATCACATTACTCTTTTCACTTTCAACTTTCTACCTTTACACACACTCCCAAATTCGTCCACTAACCTTTGCAATTTTTCTTTAGAACCTCCCATAAGCACAGTATCATCAGCAAAAAGTAACTGTGTCAATTCCCATTTTGTATTTGATTCCCCATAATTTAATCCCACCCCTCTCCCGAACACCCTAGCATTTACTTCTTTTACAACCCCATCTATAAATATATTAAACAACCATGGTGACATTACACATCCCTGTCTAAGACCTACTTTTACCGGGAAGTATTCTCCCTCTCTTCTACACACCCTAAACTGAGCCTCACTATCCTCATAAAAACTCTTTACAGCATTTAGTAACTTACCACCTATTCCATATATTTGCAACATCTGCCACATTGCTCTCCTAACCACTATCATATGCTTTTTCTAAATCCATAAATGCAATAAAAACTTCCCTACCTTTATCTAAATACTGTTCACATATATGCTTCAATGTATATATATATATATATATATATATATATATATATATATATATATATATATATTTTATATTTTATATATATATGGATTAATGCTAAATAATAATAATTAGTTATCCCATATAATATAAAGCACTAAATGTTTCTCTAACTGGGTACACTTTAATAATTAATGACAATAATAAAAAAATGTTAAACATTTTTCACATATGTTCATAAAGTAAGTAAAGTTACTGGATTTTTTCTAGAATTTTTGGTAATGTTACTGTGAATTACTTTATATATAGATGTCACTCTTCTTGTGAAGGTTGCTGTAAATTCAGATTTCAGTTTTGGTACTGAATATGAAAGATTCGTAAATTAGAAAGAGAAAAACACTGCTGAAGAGGCCTTAGAGTGAGATCAACATATAAGCAGTCTTTTCAGACACAGGAAAAAGATCGTGCATTTAATATTAAGCTACTAATATATCATAGGAGGCTTAGAGACTCACGTGCTACTGGCATATTTTAGACCATCATATGCTGTTGGTACAAAATCCATCTGTTTGGCAAGAGTTTTGAACACCGTGGAGTCTGATTGGCTATAGAAGTTTCGGAACTGTATTCCGTAAGGTGGCATTGTCACCCTGTTAGAAGAAAAAATTATTTATTGGCTACTGTTTTGATTAAATATCTCTCACAATTCAGAATGACTGAAAACTGAACTTTTGTCATGTGCAAATTTCATAATCGTTTATATTTACTGCATTTGTTTTATTTATTTTTAATTCATGTTTCCAGTATTACTGCATTGTGTAAAATCTTGGCATATTGCAGATGATTTCTATGTTCCTGTCATGTCATGTAGTGCACAAAGCATTCATCAATAGTTTTGGATAGCTACACGAACTTCTATTATTCTCACCCTCCTAATGGGCCATGAGATTAAAATGGAATGAAAAAAAAGGCATTAGGATAAAAGCAGGCAAAGAACTGATAATCATTTTACACTAAGTAGTGGAGTACTGTAGGTCAGGTCAGCCCACGAGCCATCACTGGGAAAAATATTGCCCACCTGATACACAGTATACCATGGTAGTACTTTTATGGATGGTCGTTAATAAACATGTTAAAAAAATATCTGTGATGTGATGAACATTTCATAAGAATATACTGGGTAAAGAATTTACTCAGACTTGAGTAGAAACTAATGAGATGGTAATGTATGACCTCAGAATAACAGAAAAGGGAAGACTTGAAAGAAAAGAATGTTAAGGAATGACTGCCAATTGTTTGCAGTGAGTACTGTATTTAATAGAAAAAGGATATACAACTTTTTGCAGTGAGAAATTAAGTGCTAGCAATGACAGAAAATACAGTACTATTAAACCAGGGTACGGGTGGGAATCGAACTCATGGGAAGCAGAGTCGTAAAACTCCAGGTTAGCGCGTTAGCCACCGGGCCAGTTGGCTATAATAAGATTCATCTAACTGGCCTGGAGTTTTACAACCCGTTCGCTTCGAGCCCCACCTGTACGTTGGTTGGTTTGCAGTCGTGTTATAACTTTGTGAGTCAGTACTATTAATTTATCCAAACCTACATATGGGACCATACACATATGAACTTACACACACATGTACCCAAGCTTTCATCATCCAGACTTATCCTCTTCACCCTTGCTACTCTGCTCCAGCTACATCCCCGGCCCTGCAGTGCTCTATGACCCTAGTGGGTTTAGCACTTCTTTTTTATTATAATAACGATATATGATCTAGTAGGTTTAGCGCTTGGTTTTGATTATAATAATAATAATTCATTTAGCAGCTTAATAATACGTCAACATCTGCAATAAGGCAAGACCAAAATTTAATGCTCGGTTACCTTATCTTGCTCTAACATTAATTTAAATATACTTAACCTACAATAACCAAATTACACAGTTGCATCTGACAGTAAACTGAAGGTCTACACCACCTGGGGAATGGGAGATAATTAAGTCTGATCCAAACAAGGGGAAAATAGGTCCAATTCCTTGGATCAAGAGCCTCTTTTTTTCGAGGGGTTATAACTGCTCAAAGTCTTAAATTACATGCGCGTAATGTATGGTGTATGATGGGTTGCATACGTTCATGTATTAAACTGCTCTTCAATAATGACCACAGATGGATATGGGGCGCACAATAAACTAATCGCTTCAGTGGCAAAATCTACAAATTCTAATCCAGGGTCTCACCTCTTTGTAACTTTGATGAGCTCTTCAAGAGTTTCAGGTCTTGGAGGGTACTTGGGTATCGTGAGAGATGCAGTGAGATTGCCCCTATAAGCTGTGCCAATGATGAAAGTAAACACCAGCCATGCCCCAAAAACTGCCCGAGCCCAACCTCTCCGAGTCAGTCGCTCAGCCATGCTCTGCCCCAGGAGAGTCCCCACCACATCCTGAATAACTTGCTGGGAGTCTATTCTTCGGTGAAGTGCTCCACCCACTGCCACATGGCCCATCTTTGACACAAAAGAAAACATTAATCATGAACGAAAATGGAGAGACAAAATCCTAGAGCTACTACCCACTCCTAGAGCTTTATTCCTATTTATTGATTGTTGCAGACATACAGTATATGGTGTATATTAATATATAACACATATTCAGGACTTGAGTCCTGGAGGTGAACGGTACATTGCCTGCACTCTGAAGAAGGAGTGGAGATATGTTACAGTTTTTGAACTGTAATACTGGCACACCTCTGGCAAGACAGTGATGGAGTGAATAATGAAACAATAAGGAAACAGCCAGTGTGTTAAAATACATGATATATATATATAAAAAATATATAATATATATATATATATATATATATAAAATATAATATATATATAAATATATATTTGGTACCCACCTCTATAACTGCACGGGGACCCTCTCCTCGAGTGACAATAAACGTACCTCAGGGAAAACTCAAGGTTCTCCCTGAGCGTTTGAATTTTTTCTCCTACCACCCCCTATAATTTATATTCTATATGAAAATTGTATTAATAGACAGAAAACATTGACATAAAACACAAACATGAATACATTGGTACAATATATCAAAGATTATGACTCTCCTCCAGCTCCTCCGAAGCCGGACGTGACCCATAGCAGCAAGCATTTCCCCTCTGGATGGCCACGCTGAGGCATTGGGACATGAAAGTGGCTGCCCTTGGGTCCTTGGTGGTGTCGATGAGTCTGGAACCCAGTTCTTTCAGGAAATGTGTGGCATTTTTTACCTATGATCCCTAGGTCCTTGATCCCACTGGGACAAATTAATACTGTTGGTTTATGTCCCTGTACTTGCTGATCTTGTACTCCTCCCTGTGGTCAGCAGCTCCTCCCTGTCGCCCCACACTGATGGATATAGGTGTCAGCCAGCTTCGACACGCAGGTACAGTCCCATGCTAAGAACTTGCCATTCTTCCAAGGATAGATGGTGATCCTGTCGGGGCAGTTTGCTGGGTTGTGGGAATTGTTGGCTGCTAGTGATCGGGGCTCCCTCTCGGCTGGGCATCCAGCTGTAGCAAGGCTTCTCTTTATGATGTTGACTTCACTGTGTCTTGCATGCCAGCCCTTGGTTTTGGAACAGTTAAGACCATATTGGTCGGCTTTCGTTTCGCCGCAAATACACGTATAGTCCATGTGAATTGGGGCAGCAAGGCGCAGAGCCACTGCAATACGGAGGGTCCATATATATATATAATATATATATATATATATATATATATATATATTATATATATATATATGTGTGTGTGTGTGTGTGTGTGTGTGTGTGTGTGTGTGTGTGTGTATATATGTGTGTGTGTATATGTGTGTGTGTGTATGTGTGTGTGTGTATGGTTTTGTGTGTGTACTCACCTATTTGTACTCACCTATTTGTGGTTGCAGGGGTCGAGTCACAGCTCCTGGCCCCGCCTCTTCGCTGATTGCTACTAGGTCCTCTCTCTCCCTGCCCCATGAGCTCTATCATACCTCGCCTTAAAACTATGTATGGTTCCTGCCTCCACCACATTCACTTTCTAGGCTATTCCATGGCCTGACTACTCTATGACTGAAGAAATACTTCCTAACATCCCTTTGATTCATCTGAGTCTTCAACTTCCAATTGTGACCTCTTGTGTCTGTGTCCCATCTCTGGAACATCCCGTCTTTGTCCACCTCGTCTATTCCGCGCAGTATTTTATATGTCGTTTTTCATGTCTCCCTGACCCTCCTGGCTCCAGTGTCGTCAGGCCGATTTCCCTCAACCTTTCTTCATAGGACATATCCCCGTAGCTCTGGGACTAGTCTTTTGCAAACCTTTGCACTTTCTTAATTTCTTGACGTGCTTGACTTTGTGGATTCCAAAAATGTGCTGCATACTCCAGTATGGGCCTGACGTAGAGGTGTCAGAGTTTTAAAACGAATCCTTTGAGGATGGGGAAACGCTACCCCGTAGGTTTGCCGGGGCCCCCGATGCTGCAGCATTATCTGATTGATGTGCGCCCAAATATCTCGGGTTTACTCCCCCCAGATCTTTTTCCTTTAGTGGGGTTTTGGGTCTTTGGGCCCATCTAAACTATATTGTGTCTGCGGTCTTTTTTCCCCTTTCCCCCAACTTCATGATTTGCATTTGGCAGGTTAAAATTAAAGGAGCCAGTTGTGGACCGGCTTGTAGCCTGTCCAGATCTCTTTGTAGTCCTCCCTGTCCTCGCCCGATTCGATTCTCTCATTAATTTTCCATCGTCGCAAAAAAAGGACACTTCTGAGTCTATCCCTTTCCCGTTATGTGTTCCGTTCCCAAGAACGCACGGGCCTAGGGACTGACCCCTGTGGAACCCCGCTTGTCACAGGCCCCCACTCTGACCCTGTCGCGTACCATGATCGTTTTTTCCCCCCTGTCAAAATTCTCTATCCTTCGTGCCTTTCCTGTTATGTGTGCCTGGTCCTCTAGCTTTTGCAGTAACCTCTTGTGGGGAAAACTGTGTCAAAACCCGAGCCAAAAAATACGCAGTCGACCCCACCCCTCTCTCTCTTGTCTTATTTCGTCACCTTTCAAAAAAACTCTAGTAGGTTTGTGACACAGGTTTTTTCCCTTTTCCCTGAAACCGTGCTGGTTGTCAATTATACACTTGTTTCTTTCCAGGGCCCCCCCACTCTCCTCCGATGATCTTCTCCATGACCTTTGCTACATACCGTTAAGATACGGGCCTGTAGTTTATGCCTCATGTCTGTCCCCCTTTTTAAAAATTGGGACTTTAACATTTGCCATTTTCCATACCTCGGAGTTGCCCAGTTTAAAAAAGGGTGTTGGATCTTTTGTTAATGGCTCACACAATATCTCTGCCCCCTCTTTAAGGCCCCGGAGAATGTTTCTGGTCCCCCGCCTTTGAGGTGTCAAGTTCGCATAGCAGCTTCTCACCCCTCCTTGGGTTATAGTCCTCATCCGCCTTGCTGGTGCCCCCCTGTTCTGATTTTTTGGGAGTCCCGGGTTTCCATGTAAATACCTTTTTAAATTTTGTGTGAGCTCCTGACATCCCCTCTGGGTCGTTTCTTGTAATTCCCCATCACCCTTCCTCATTGTTCCGGCCTTGACTGTTTTTTTCCTCCTGATGGGGCTGTCAACAGCTTGGGTCGTCTTTATTTTTGATGCTATGTCATTTTAAATTTCTCTGGCCCCCCTTTCTTATCTGTCATATTCGTTTCGGGCTCTTCGGTGATTTCTTTTTTTTTTCCTGAGTTCCTTCTTCTGTACCTTTTCCTTCTCTATTACACCTAGTTTTTGCCCCCCTACACCTTTGGGGAAACCAAGGATCGTTCTGTTTTTTCCCATTATTTCGTTTCCCTTGGGAAAAAAACCCCTCCTCTGCCTCCTTGCATTTTTTGCTACAAAACCATCTTTCTTTTACTGGGTTTTTCCCGTCGTTCCCCCTCCCACTGAATGTTTGAAGGGAAATTTTTTCATGCCTGAGTATTCCCCCCCTTTTGAATTTTGGGTTTTTTCCCCGCCTATTCCCCTACTCTCTTTCCCATTGGGGCCCAACTTGATCGGCACAGAACCACATGATCCTAGCCCCAGGGGCCTTTCAACATGAACCCCGAGTCCGAATACTCTGGTGAATAAAGGTCCAACCTTGCTGGGTTTATCCCCCCTCCTCGGAGTGTTCCAACATGTTGATGATGAGGTTCTCCTACCACATCCATATCTTGGGTCCCATGTTTCGGGCCCCCATGGGGCCCTTTTTTCCCCCGTCAATCTCCTTTTGGATTTAAATACCCCCAACTATAAAATTTTGCCCCCCCCATGTGTTTGCCCCCTGGCCCCCTCGGTATGTTTGATCATTGCTTGTTGCTCTACGTATTCTCTCTTGGGCCCCCTGCAGTTCTGTGGTGGGTTGTACATTACGCAAATTTCCCTTATGTCCCCAGACTGGGTTGTTCCTACTAATACCCTTTCCCCATCCCTCCTTCCCTTTCCCTTTTTCAAAACCCCACTGGTTTTTAATGAGCATGCAACTCCTCCTCCCCCTCTCCCCCCTGTCTTTCCTGAAATTTATATCCCATGGAAAGATTGAATTGTTATTTTCTGGTGGTTTTTTTTCTGTGGTGCTTTTATGTCTGGGGGTGCTCTTTGATTCTTTTGTGCCACTCCTCATACTTGTTTGTTATTCCCTTGCATTTGTAACCACACCTTCAAATTTTTTTTTTTGAGACTGTAGTCGGGAAGTTATTGGGGGTTGGGGGAAATGGGAGACCTGGTAAGGAAATATGGTTGTTGTGTGGGGGTGAAATTTGTAATGAGGGGGGTTGGGGGTTGGGTTTGGGAGGGGTTTTTGATTTAGAGTGTTTTGGGTTGCCTGGGGGTTACCCGGTTGGGGGGTTCTATAAAAGTTGTGAGGGGGTGTATTTGATTTCTTCCTGGGGCGGATCTCCCGTCTGTCTTCTCCCTCCCCTCTCTTTCTCCTTTCGCCTTTTTACCTCCTCCATTTCTTCCTTTTTCTTGTGTTCTGTCCGGCGAGATACACCCTCCCCGTATGCCGTCATGTCCCCTTTAAACGTGCTTTTTCCCGCATATCCGGTCCGAGTTGCTTCTGCCCTTAAGGCACTCTCACTGGGCCCGGGGGCTTTTTTTTACAAACCCCCCTTTCTCCGAAAATTTTCCAGCTGGGGTTTTCGCTTCTCCATTGCTTTCATGATGCTTTTAATTTCTTTTTTTTTCCCCTTGTTTTCTTGCTTCATTGTTTCCCCTTCGACTTCCTGGAGCCCATACACAAAGACTGACCTCACCCTTTCATTCTCCCACTGCATATCCCTGTGTATCCCCTCATTTGTGTGTGTGTGTGTGTGTGTGTGTGTGTGTGTGTGTGTGTGTGTGTGTGTGTGTGTGTGTGTGTGTGTTGTGTGTGTGTGTG